CTCTGCCACCAAATAATAAGTTGCGTATAAGCGAGGAACAATGATAAATAATAAAACACAGTTTATTAACTCAATCGCAAAAGATAAAGAACTTGACCGAGACCAGGAACACTTAAATAGTATTCCTGCCCTCGGCCAACAATGGAATCGAACTCAAACATTAAATTATAACTCTAATCACATTACACCTCTTGCGCAGTTCGAGACCATGGGCGGCCGGAAGCAGGTTCCAAAACCATTGAAGAACCTTGAGAAAATGCACGAGGTTTCATTTGACCATAACCCTTCCTCCCCTTTAAATCGAGAATGCATTTTCTCTTTTTCTTTTTCTTTTTCCTGAAATGCTTAGAAAAATTGAAAATCTTGCTAGACCAAATTAGGCCATCTTTTTGACACGATAAATAAGTTTTGAAATCAGAAGAAAATTGCAGATCTTTAGAAGAAAATAGATCGTAACCAAGAATTACATGATCAAAGTCAGAAACTACCATTTTATGCTTAAATTTTATATCATTTAATTCAAAAGAAGCAAATGTTTCGCCAAGAATTTTCATATTATCTTTAGTGATTCCTGAAACCGATACCTTAGCAGTTTCTATTTCCTCGTTAGATAAAAATCGTTTATTCATAGGAATAACGGAAACATCCGAACCTGAATCAATCATAGCCAAAGTTTCAACTTGATTTATTTTAATTTTAGTAAAACACTGAGGTTGTTTTCGAACCATAATTGCATTAATTTCTTTCCTTTCAATTCTATTGTTAGACGAATTATTAGAATTTCCTTGATTTCCAACTTTATTTTTTACATTGTTGAAATCATAATGATTTTCTTCATTCTTTTTTTTGAAATAACAATCTTCAGAAACATGGTTTTTTCTACCACAAAAATCACAAGATACATCTTCATCCGTATCCGAAGAAAAACTTGAACCAAAATAATCATTTTTATCATAAAAATTGAATCGATTAGAAGCTAAATCCATTGGACCAATTAAGTTGATAACTTCATCAATATTCTCGGGTAAATCCGGAATAGCCAATGTTTTTACTTTTAAAGAAGGCTGAAGAGCGTTAATAAAAATATCTCTAGCTAAAAGATTACGAACAATAGTTTTAGCATTAGGATAAGCCTTTAACGTTAACTCCTGAACACGTGAGGCTAAACGCGAAAGTTGTTCATCTTTAGATCTCTTTAAATTCAATAATGTTTGAACGATTAAATTTCTTTTAGGTTTTTCAGATTCAAAGAAACATTCTTTAATTTTTTTGAAAGACTTCTTGTCATTTTCGTTCATAGAATTTAGAATACGTAAGGCTTCGGAATGATTAGGCAAAAAGGCAGGAAACAGTTTAGCCTTTAGTTTATCATCCCAATCGATTGCATGCGAAACTCTTTCATAATATTCTAAATACTCTATGAGATCTTCGTCGATCTTCATTATCATTGGTTTAATAAAACTTTTTTCCATCGGATATACAGTAGAGAACCTCTGCCACCAAATAATAAGTTGCGTATAAGCGAGGAACAATGATAAATAATAAAACACAGTTTATTAACTCAATCGCAAAAGATAAAGAACTTGACCGAGACCAGGAACACTTAAATAGTATTCCTGCCCTCGGCCAACAATGGAATNATCTTTGATACAAAGGAGAAAAAAAATCTATTCAAGGTCTTGATTTCTTTTATGGATCAATTCGAGTGATGCTGTGAATGATGATGATCCGGTTATATGACAAACGATCCACAAAGAAAAAAAAACTGATGATTGATTGATGCAGTTTTCTTTCTTTTCTTCTTTTCTTTTCTCTTGGATCATTTGTATATGAACATTAGAGTGTGTGTGTGTGTGTGTGTGTGAATGAAGGATTACTATAAAATTGATAACTTGAACAAATTTTTACCGGTCAATCAAAGATTTCAGAGTTTTGGCTGGGTTGATTGATTATATATGTCTGTCTGTATATGTCGGTGTCTAATGATAAGAAATTCATATTTTTCAAAAGTTTTTGTTCATTAATAAATCAATCAATCTGAATAATGATGATTTGTTTCTCTTTCCATCCATCTCTCTCTTTGAATAACTCTTGATTCATTCAAGCTTAAAGAAGTGAAAAAACTTTTTCTTTTTTGTATTCTAATTTTTTACAAAAGCCTGGTACAAATTAGTAGACAAAAAAAAATGTATGACAGAAGAGGGGTTAAATGATGATGAGAAACATGAGAAACAATTGAATTTGCGAGCGAGCGTGTTGGTGTTCCAGGATCGATTATGATTCAAAAAAAACGATGCTGATGATAATGGAACATCAAACGAGATGGATGGATGGTTGAATGGATGGATGTATTGAAATAATAACTCTTTTTTTTTGTCATTCTTTGAACAAAAAATTTTCATTCGTTATCATCATTATGAATTTATTGAATGAATCAAACAATAAGCTTTGCAAAAAAACAGCGCAGCAAACTGAAAGAAATTGTAAAAGTTTTGAAAAAAAAAGATTTTTAAACAATAAAACCGATCAAAACGATGACGATAATGATGATAATAATCATCTGAAAAAACTAAACTAAACTAATTATTATTATTTATGAGAAATTCGTATAACAATGGAAAAAAAATCTTTTTTTTTCGGGTATTTTTCCCGAAAAAAAAAGAAAATCTTTTCACCCCGCTTGATCATCATGATGTGTTAACGAAAAGATTTTTTCTTCTTTTTTCTTTTTCCATTGATTTAATCCTTTTATCTCTGTTTGTTTCTCGCTGTTCTGTTTCCAGTGAAAACAAAAAACATTTTCGGAATCCGTACTTGAACCACCACCATCATTTCTAATATTTATTCGGACAGAATCCTGTTCAAAAAGAAAAACTTGAGATCGATTCGTAATCAATTATTATCGTCATCATCATCAAACACTTGGGATGCTAAATGAGCAACTAAAAAAAAAATAAAACTTCTGAATTGCTTTTCGGAGAATTATTCTGAGTTTTAAAACAAACAAACAAACACAGAAAACACAGCGAGAGAAACAAACAAATGGCAAAAAAAAATTCATTTGTTTTTGCAAGATTGCGTGATGATAATAATGATGATGATGGCAATTCTGCAATATTGAAATATTCTTCTTGTTGTTGTTGTTGTTGTTTCGCTCAGTGTTCCATAATGTTGTTGTTTTATTAAAGTGGAAAAATTCACGAAACGAAGAAGAAGAAGAAGAATATTCTCATCATCATCATTAACAGGCAACGATAATCATAATAATAGTAATAATGATGATCATTAAAAGAATCTTCAACAACAACAACTAGAACTATAGAACTATAGAATGAATAATGAATTTGAAAATTTTTGGTTCAATAAAATTTTCCTGTTTCTGTTGAAAACAACCGTTAATAACAATCATTATGATGATGATGATGAAGATTTTTCTTCATTTCGCAATTCATTTTTTTTCGAGAATTTTTCATTATTCTTTTCAAGTTTTTGTTGCTGATGATGATGGGTCGTTTATTAATTTATGGAATATTCTTGAATGATCCACTACTACCACCACCACCGCCAACAACCATACAATTATCATACCACTATGGATCTTTATTCTATGGATCTTGCTATATATATCAGGCCAAGACACCAAGTGTTATTTTTTTTTGGCATTATTTTTGGATCTTTTTGAAAATCATTGCACAAAATCATCATCGTTGTTTTTGTTACTTCAAAAAAAAATCCCTATTTCAATTAGAAAAAAGCACCAGGCACAGGTTTTTCTTATGGTGGTTTCTTGGTTTAAAGAAAAAAACTTGAGAATAAATTTCTCTGAATGAATGAATGCATGGAACCTTGGATAACCACACCACACAGATGTTTTCCCACGAAGTGAGAAACTCAAAAACTTGAAATATTTTTGTGTCTTGAAATATCGACGGTCATCACTCGCACACAGACACTCGCACACGGTAGCATCATACAGGTTATTCAGAAGTAGGTGAAAGAAAATTCGTGATCAAAGATCATGATGGTGGTGGCGGTGGCGGTGATAATGATGCACCTGCATTTGTTTCATTAATGACCTTTTCGATAATCGATCAAGGTAAAAGAAAATCGATTATCAACCGACAACAACAAGTGAAAGTTAAGCAACAAAAAAATTTCACATCAAATTTAAACAAATTGGGATCATTTTGTCAAATGGACAACAGAAACTTGGTCAAGGTCTTTTCCTTTTCTGAATCTTTTTTGTTTGGTTTGTTCTTCTGATTCTATTTGGCGATTCAATGATGAAATACGGAATGAGCGACAAAATATTTGCGATAAAAAAAGGTTTCAAACGTCATTCGAAACTATAAAAAAAGTTTGATTCAATAACACTTCACACCCATTGATCGAACAGAAAAAAAAATTCTGGTCCTATATTGCACACACACAAACACAAAAACACACAAACAGACTATAGTTATCGATTGAATTGACTGAAAACTTTGGATCATTTTTTCCCTCTCACTCACTCTCACTCTCAAGCACATTTTGTTCATTTTGAACGGGAATTTTGTGTTTGAATTTTTGGTTGTTCAACGACCTTTTGCCAGTAAATTCAATGGTTGTCTATGCCAAAAGAACACCCGAAACCACCACCACGTAAAACAAATTGTTATTCAGAAATTTTCAAATAACACACAGATTTGATCCCATTACGATTCGATAATTTTTGTTTTTTTTATTAACCCTTTTGCTGATTAAATTTGTTTTTGTTTTTTTTGAAAACAAAACTGTTTTCATTTTACGAGAAAATTCGTTAAACCAAATCAAAAAAAATATTTATCGTTATTTTGACTTTTTCTAAGCTTTAACACTTTTTTCTCTCGTTCGAAAAAAAAAATTGTTGGCAAAACAAAATTTTCTTTTCACTTTTCACTTTCTCTCTCTCTCTCTCTCTCTCTCTCTCTCTCTCTCTCTTCACAAATCAAATACGTTTTCAATCACTATAATCCTCAAAGAAGAAAATAAATAGTTTTTCTGGTTCATTTGTTCCATTCTCGGGATCCATCATCAAACATCAAACAAACAAACAAACAAACAACATGGTCACACCTTTAATCTCGCTTTGTGTGTTGTGTAGATTGATTTGAAATTAATTTCCAAACAAAAATGAAAACGAAAACGAAAATCCAGAATCAAAAAAGTGTCAAAAAAAAGAAATAATTGAAAATTCAATAACTGAATTTTTTTGTCAGATTTTGCTGTGTGTGTTTGATGTGCATCCAAAAGGTTTGCACATCAATAAGTTTTCTTTTCTTTTTTGCTGATTTCAAGGTCTTCTCACCAACAACAAGGTAACGACTATGACGACGAAAAAAATTTACGGACCGTTTAATTTTCAGAAAAAACATTTCTGACAATCAAAACACGATATTAGACAAAACAAAAAACGAAAGGATGTTTCACAGTAAATACACACACATCTGTGTGTGAATCTTGGCAACTCTTTTTGTCACTAATTTCTTTTCAAACATTTCGTCTTTTACCCTTTCTTGCTTTTCTCTCGTGTTTCATATCACACCACACACATCAATATTTGTCACTGCCGTCAAAAAAGAAAAAGAAAAAAGAAAATCTTTGACATCATCATAGGGTTTGGCTGTATATTTGGAATATTTCCATATTATTATCAATGAATCGATTTTGATCGTATCAGATTGGAAACAAAACAAACACAAAACAAAGAAAATGCCAAGCCCAATATCAAAGATGATACGTGTACCTTGAACTTTATACACGAACAACATACGCATCATTTCAATGTAATAATAATTTGATAATAAGGTCAATCGTGCTCACATGACGATCATCTGATCAGAGAGGCCAAAGAGAGATCATCATTTGATTATTTCAGATAAGATTTATTTAAAAGATTTTGATCAAAAAATTGACAGAAAAAAAATTTTTGACATTGAACAACGAAAATTCGTTAAGCATCTTAGTGAAATGAATGAATGAATGAAAAGATGATTGAATGAATATATGATTATATGAGATTTACCTCTTTGATTTTTTTTTGTTGGAAAGAACATCCATTTATTATTATCCAATAAATTAACGATTAATATTGAGAAAGGTTTATGTTGTTGTTGTTGCTCATCTGTCATTCGAAAATATTCGATTTTCCGAAATTTTCGGGTTCATCATTGTGTATTTAGCCGATTTGGCTATTTCGACAACAATCCAGAAAAAAAAGAAGTGTGAAAAAACAAAAATCTTTAACCTTTTTTTGTTTCTTTATCCGAAACAAAGATTTTTCTTTTTCCCTTTTCTTTTTTGAATGTCAAACATTTTTGCTTCTTTTCCTGTTGTCAAATATGAATCCTTTGACACACACATGGGACAATTTTTTGGTTTTGTTTAAAACATCGTTTTCGATTTTTCGATTTTCGTTTCGGATCGATGATTTGTTTGATGGAGATAATCGATAATAATAATAACCTCTAACCCCTTCGTTTTTTTTTCTCACTTGTAATCACCATTCATTCATTCATTTAATATCCTGTTGTTCACGGTCGTCATAATTTTCGATAATCAATAATCGATAGTGTTTCGGTATTGAAAATACCTTTGTGATAATAATCTTCAAGGTCACTTTTCCGAATCTAAATAATACCCGATAATATGTGAATGAAGAAAAAAAGGATTTCTCTCCGAGCAACTATTGACCAACTCTGATGCAAAAGAAAAAACATTGAAAAAACAAAGTCGATGGATGACCAAATTGTGTGTTTTTCAATGCCAATCGTGACATTGAAGTTTCGTTTGGTTTTTTTCTGATTTCTGATTTTGTCCTTTGATCTTCACCAAAAAATTTTTCGAAGGTTACGTTTGGTGCGTGTATTTTTCAGCATCATTTTTTTCCGAGAAGAAACCAGTGTGAAAAATCTAATCTTACCAACCTACAACAACAACAAAAAACATTGAATCAAAAGAAAGAGAAATGCCTGCAAATCTAAAACCTTGAAAGGGTTATACCAACAACCAAAACAAAAATGAAAAGAAGAAAAAACCCTACCAGCACCAAATGTCTATGATTATAATGATGTGTGATGTGTGTGTGTGTGTGTGTGTGAACGTAATTTCGTAAAATTACAAAAGCAATGTCAGTGAAAGGAGAGAAACAAAAACGAAAAAAAAACGAGGATTGGTTTGGTTTGATGTGCGTGTTTGATTTGAAAAACCAAAAACCAAAAAAAGGAAAGGAAAGGAAATTGTTCAATGTTTGCCCATCTCCATTCATTTTCCAAAACATTCATCCGTTTGGTTTTTTTTCTATCGTTTGTTTGTCCTCGAATTATACAATAATGAAATAAAGGGTTACGCGATCACCAAACATCACCAATACCAAACACCACTAACCTAACCAAACCAAACCAACCAAAACACAAAGGTCAATTGAATGTCAATTGAATGTGAATTCAACATGGTCGAGGTCGTTTTAGAAAAAAATTTTCATTCTTTCTTTCTTTTTGTTTTTCACCTGATTATTATTATTGATGTTTGTTGAGGTTTTTCACTTGAAAGAAAGGGTTTGGTTTCTGTTTTTGTTTGTTTCTTCATTGATTTCACAATGTTTGGAAATTTGATTGTCTTGATTAGGCTGTGTTTGTGGTTCGCAGTAGTTCTTCAATTCAATTTCAATTCAATAGTGGTGATAATGGTTTGGTATTTCTCTGTTTCCTTCAGGATTTCCTTTCCTTTTTTTTGGCTATTTTTACTCAATAGAGTTTTGTTTGCACTTTAAACTTGTGTGAATGTTTATATATTGATTATAAAAGGATGATGATTAGGATGAATAAAATAGGATTTATTAATGAAAATGATAACAACCAAGCAACAACAAAACTAAAACATTTGAACATCAGCAAAACACACTTGAAATAATAATCAACACTGAAACGCAAAGAGAAAGAAACGCAGAGAAAGAAAAGGATATTCAAATTTGATTGTTAAACAAATGCAAAAAATATATTTACATTAAACAAAAAAAAAATGATTAAAGGATTTGTTTAATCAACTAGAAATTTTCAAAAAAATTCGATACTGATATCCAAACGAATTGACATTATTCAATATTCGAAATGTTACGAAATGGATGATTCATTTTAATAATTCTGTAATGATTGAAATCTGTTTCTGTTTGGTCGATTGTTTGGTACCATAATGATGTTCGAAATAGATGGAAATAAACGAAAAAAATTGATATTAAACAAAATCGTGACCATATCGACGGAGATGTGTGTGTGTGTGTGTGTGTGTGTTTATGTGAGAATGATAGATGTGCAAAAAAAAAATCAATGAGAATCAATTAAAACAAGGCAAGAATCAATTTTTTTTTTCATTTCTAAATTATCGAATGCAATCTGTTGTTGTTGTTGATTAGGTTTTTTTTTGTTTCAAACAATTGATGCTTCTCTTCACATTGAACAATTCTGATTGGCGAGAAATTAATTAATTACACACACACACAATTTTCATTGAATATTCGCGGAAATTGTTATTATCTTGCTCTCTCTCTCTCTCTCTCTCTCTCTCTCTCTCTCTCTCTCTGATGATGATCAAAGAATTACATAACCATATTTTTGATACAAATCATATTGAAATTGAAATTGGATGTTGTTTTTTTTCTGAAAGCAGAAAACAACGATGATGATGATTCGCTTGATTATTCGCATTCAAGGTGTGATTAGTGTGTATATTAAACGGTATAAATGGAAAAATGAACATCTGTTAATCTATAGTAATATTTTCCATTGAAAAGAAATGCAAAAAAAAGGTCATTAAAGGTTATTAACAATCTATTTTAACAATCGATTTTTTATCATTATCATCATCATCAAGATGTTAATGATGTTTTTTTTCTCTCTATATCGCCTTGATGCCATGGGTTTTTCTTGTCAATTGTTTTCAAATTTTGATCGATAATCAATGAACATCATTCATTCATTCATTCATTTTCCCTTTTTATTATTCAATCGATCGATAGAAAGAATGTTAATTAGTTTCAACCACTGGTTTGCTGTGTGTGTGTAAGCATTCTGATTCATTTCTTGTCATTCAAATCGAACACACAAAAAAAGTTGACCCATTTTTTTCAATATTCATCATTGTCGGATGTTGAATTTGTTTGATTGACAATCATATACACACATCATAGACATTTCATTTTTTTTGTTGATGATATCTATGTCATGGTAGTGAAAATGTACATCTTGATTATGATTATGGTGATGATTACAAATGATGATTATCGAAAATAATGTTTATATGGGAATTTTTCTGTTTTTTTTCTTTTTCTTCTTCTTCTTCAAACAAATGTATCCAATATTGATGATGATGATGATGATTTACATACATCCGGATAAATGTATGTGTGTGTGTGAAAAAACCGATGAAAACAAATTTGAATTTTTGATATTTATCAAAAGATGTTACATTTTTGTTTGATGTTGCATACACCAAAAATGGAAATTTTGTTTCGTTTTCGATTTGATGATTCGTGGCAATAAATTCATTGAATGATTGGTCGATATTATTATCGATATTTTTTCTCTTGATTAAACGCATAGTACGATTCTCCGGATTTTTGTTTTGGCTTTCTTGTAGTCAAGCATTTTTTTTGGTTGGTAAAAGTAATGTGATATTCTAAATTCGAATCAATGTACTTGGAAATTATCAATCTCTTTCGATATTGATAAAGGTTCATTTGATAATTTTTTTTTGATGGGGGAATGAAATGATGAAATTTTTCTAAAATCAATGAATTTTTCTTCATTTTCTTTCTTGATTTTTTTTTTGATTCGTACGTAACGTTATCCAATAATTAGACTTTGATTCACTGATATAATGGGGAAAAAGAAAAAAGAATTAAATTAAATTATTTCGAATCAAGAAAAAAAACATAATGAAAAATGGAAAAACATTCGATTTTTCTTACGTCAGAAGAAACCATGTTAGATTCACGATTAGTTGGTTGGACGGTTTTTATTGGAGTTTTAACGATATTTGGTAAATTATCATCATTATTTTTGTAAGATTTATTGATTGATTGATCATTGATTTCTTTTTTTTTTCGTTCGTTCAATACAATTCTGATTCATCCACCACCAACAACAACAAAAGTATCAATGATAGTTGCACTTCGCCGTCGATTTATGTTGATTGAAATTAAAAATATTTTACAATTAACAACAAAAGAATTTATTGAATATAATAATGATGTTACTGATAATAATGATGATGATAATAATAATTATCAAACAAAATGTTTACAACAAATACGTGATACATTGATTGAAGTTAGAATCCGAGAAATGGCTATCAAACATTTTCGAACAAAATTAACGGATTTTAATGTGTCGAACAACAAGGAAAATAAAAAATCTAAAAAAAATAAAAAATGTAACAACAATAGTACGCCATCTGTTGTTGATCAGGCAAACAATTGGATTTTTTTCTAAAATCTTTGCAAAAAAAAAACCTGTTGGGTAATTTTGTAATTTTTGTGTAATTTTTTTGATTAATTACAGCGAATTCTGGTGAATAAAAAAGTAAAATTTTTTTTTTGAAAATAATTTTCGTCCTTGCATGCATGGCCAGACAAATCCAGAAAAATTGCTAAATGGCCCATATCTTTGTTTTGAATTCCTCGTTTTGGATAAAAATCCACCCAAATTTTTTTTGTTTTGTTTTCCTATTTGCCAATGAAATCAAAAAAAAAAAAGTTTTTCAAATAATTTAAATATCTGTCAACTGAAAGTGTGAAAATCTTTGTTACATTGACTACGGCATGAATTTAGTAAAAACAGAAAACAAAAAATGCTGCGCACATTCTATCGATTTAAATCCATTGCAGACAAAATCCATCGAATCCTAATCAAATCCATCCAATTCCTTTCTCAATGAAGAAGAAGAATCAAAACAATAAAAGAATGATATTGAATCACTGCTAATACTTTTACCACCACCACCACCACCAAAACACATATACATCATGGCCATGATATTGAATGATTGTATGGTTGATTTTGATTTTTTGATGAATACAACCGACCATGATTCGAAAATCAAAAAAACAATAATGATCATTTTAATGGCATCAACCACCCATCAGTCGCAGCAAAACGGTAGTCATGGATTTCTTTAAAAATCACAAATAAAAAATTACGACATCCACCAACGATATTAGATTTTTGTTTGTTTGTTTGATGGAAAAAGAATGAATGGAAAAATATGACTTTTCATTTTTTTTGGTGGTTGCAATATTACCAACAGTTTTGATAATCGCTTCATTTTTATGATTGAAAAATGATTGACTGATTTGAAAAATTTTTATAATTTTTGCCAATGATGATAATGGATTTTGTCAACAGAAAAAATAGAAGGAAAGTTTTTTTTTGTACGATGCTTATGTGATTATCATTAAAATGTAGAGGAATGATTGATAACAATAAAACATCATTATCATCATCATCATCATCATCGTCAACAACAGTTGAAAATGTTGCCGCTTGTTTTTGTTTTTTCCCTAATCATTTAGCTGGAGATAGCAAAAAACTCTTGTTGTAGCTGTTGTTGTTGTTGTTTTTGGTTTTCTGGTCAAAATGAAAACAAAAAAAAAGATGATTAATTATTGCAATTAAACAATTAAACAAACTCAAATTACTAATTTATGGTTGAATTTCATCATCATCATCATCAGTGTAATCGAATGCATCGATCCAATCCAGATTAACTATTATAATCGGATGAAAAAGGTAAGAATGTGTTTGCTTTAACAATCATTTTTCGATAGAAATTTTCCATTTGTTTTCTTTGCTTTGCTTAATTTTGCTTATGGAGATGATCTAGTTTCATTGCAAAGCAAAAATTGTTATTGACATTTTAAAACAGCAACAACAACAACAACAAAAATAACGTCTTAATCTGTCCGGTTGATTGATTGATTTATGATTTCTTTTCTTCTTCTTCTTTTTCCTTTGTTGATGGCCATATCATGTTTTTTTTGGTTGTCGTTGGCAATATTTTTTTCTGTATAACGGTGTTTTCTAAAGCCATTTTGTTTGCCATTTAACACTGTTGTATCTAATATTGTTTTGTTTTTTCCATAAATGATTTATTGTTGTTGCTGTAATCAATTTATAGATCAAAAAACATCATCCATTTTTCACAATCGATCTATTGAGATTGATTTTTTTTGTTTCTTTCGTTGAATAAGTGATAAATACAATGACCTTTTATCAACATTATTTACTTATATCGTTTGTTGTTGTTTTTTTTCACACAAGAATTTCTGATGACATCATTTTGTTTGTTTTCTGTTTCTCTTCATCTTTTTCGAAATTTGATTCTACTTATTCATTCATCTCCCCACCATAGTTTAGTTTGATTGTTTTCGGTCTTGTATTCGTTTGACTTTCTATAAATATTTTTCATTTTTTCTTCTGCTCGTCTTTCAGTGTATGTAAGTAAATCTGATGAAGAATGGATGATTAAAAATACGAGTGATTTTATCATGTCTGGTGGTCGTGACAATTTTTTTCATGTTGTTGTTGTTATTGTCGAATAATTCATTGAAAGCGATGAAATTAACCACCACAATGTTGTTATAATTGTCACCCGAAAACAAAAAATATCAAATCAAGAACCAAATGATGCTTGCTATGATGCTCTAAAATTACTTATATGTCAATAATTAATGAAAATCTCGAACAAACACAAACAAACAAACACTTACCATTCATTTTATAAAGCAATTCCATTACTGGAAATTCATTTCGAAAAGAATTTTTTTCTTGATGATAAACAAAAAACGCTAAAATCAGAACAAATTCTTTTCAAGAATAATTTGTCAATCCGTTTCTTCATCTTCTTTCTTTTTTTGTTTTAAATAACCCAATTTTGGTTGTTAATTTCCAAATTAAAATCGTCGAAAATGATAAAAAGAAAGAATCAGAATTCCATTTCAATATTGACGACTATTTCAACCTATTGTTAATTAAAAAAGTTCGACCAGTTGTTTATCCCATTTTTTTCTGTTTTTGTTTTTCTCGAACAAATTTCATTTGAATTCGTTTTTTTGGTTTTGTTTTTTTGTTTCAAACAAAAACAAAAAACAACTAATCGAACTTTGAATAAATCTTTGCGTTTTCTTTTTCTCAATGAAACAACAACAACAACAACAATTATGTTTCATTTACAAACAGGTAATTTATTTTCCACGCAATTTCCTGCTTCACTCTCTTGCTTTCTTTTCATTTCTTTACCATTTTCCATCTCGTTGTCGTCATTATGCAATGTTTATCTGTCACTTGATCCATTTCGCATATCATGTCATCATTCCTTTAGGTAAATCAATCTATGAACATTCGAATGAACAGAATTCATTCTCTCTCTATATACATAATGAATGAATGAAAAATAAGAATCAAACCGGATGAATCGATCCATTTTTTTGTTGTTGTTATCGTCGTTGTTGTTTGTTTTGTTTTGTTTTCTGTCATGCATATACACATTCTTGTTTCATCGAATAATCATCGAATTTTTCTTCTGTTGTTTTTTTCAATCACAAGTCAATGAACGACGATAATGTTTATGTTATGATGTAGGTGTGTGTGATGGTTGGTTCGGGTGTTGACCATCGCGTGTTAAATCGATTGAATATTTTCACAGAAGCAAAAATGGTAGAAATATTCTGTTCAGAATGATTTTCCATGTCATTTTGAATGAGACAATTTTAGCGAATAAATCATCATCAATTTCCATAGGTAAGAGAGATCTGTGATTCTAACTAGCCTTTTTCTGTGTAAATAGCGTCATGAATTTCGAATCTTTTTTTTCTGATGCTCAATTCGATTCTTGAAATTTTTTTTTCTGATTTTCAAAATGAAAAAAATATTTCAAGAATTTGAAATTTTGTTTATTTTCTTTAGTGTTTTTTTCTGTTCAAACATTTTGTTTATTTGTATATTTTTTCACTTTAAAACAAGAATGTGGAAAAAAAACTAATCTTTTGATCAGAAAACAATTGATCGATTGATCAATCGAACTTTGATTGATTCTTTCATGTCAATTTTTACCACTTGTTCCACTAACATTGATGATGTAAAACAAACAAACAGCAAAGACAGACGCCATAGAATCATTGATCAATTGATTTCAATTTTACTTCTTGATCAGAAAACAAAATAAACAATCCAATTCATCCGAAAAGCAACAAAAAAAAATCGTCGATGTTTTTTTACGTTATAAATTTTTTGTTTCTGGTACAAAACATTATCAACAAACCAAAAAAAATCAAAACAGATGTGTTTAATTTGTGTTTGTGTATCAATGAGCAAGAAAGGCGTTAATGTGATTTTCAACACTTGTTTTTTCTTCTTTTGCAGAATGGTAAAAACTCATTGCCATTTTTTGATTTTAATCTGTAAAAAACAAACAAAAAATTCATTGTTTTTTTTTAAATATCATTTGCTTTAAGTGGTTATAGGAATGATCAACAAAAACAACACCTACAACAAACACTGATGGCAACATTTGTTCGAACCAGAAATTCGTATCATAATCTTTTGGTTGATGAAATAACGAAAAAGAAGAAACTTGATTTCTAATTGATTGATTGATTCAAAAAAAACGTTTTCATTTATTTATTGAATCCAACCGACAACAACAAAAAGAAAGAACCAACGATGGATAGATCACAATTAACAGTGATTCCTAATAAATCAACAGCCACCACCAGCAGCACTACAAACTTACAACAACAACAACAATCACAATTAAATCGACCAAAAACATCAAGTCAAGCCAGTACAACAATAATAACAAATACAAATACAAATACTAATACTAATACAACAACAACAATTGATCTAAGTCTTACATTATGTCATCTTTTACAACGAATTCTTATACCATTTACATTGGCTACAGGTAAGATTTTATTTTGATTATTATTATTATTAGAATATTGAAAACAAATTTTGGAAGAAAAATCGCTTTATTCGCTATAAATCAAAAAAAAAAATTGAAGCGAAAAAATTATGACAGAAAATTAACAACTTAAACAAACAAACAAACAAATCGAATCAATCAAACGCGATTCTATGGTTTGTTTGTTGAATGTTTTTCGTTTTAACATATGTGTGTGTGTGTGTTTTATGATGATTTATTTTTCCTCCAAAAAAGTGATTCATTCATCTATTTGTTGCCAGAATATGATGAATGAAAAAAAACAACAACTAATGTTTACATTAAAAATATACTCTTGAACATTATAATTGATTGAATGATTGATTAATTAGTTTTTTTTGTTCAATGTTTTCTTTCTTTTTTCTACAATGAAAAAGCTGTTTTATTTCGACAAAATCTTTTATCAGCAATCTATCTAATACTTTTGTTATTGGCACCAATATTACCTAGTCCAACAGCTGAAAATGTTATCAATGGTGTTAATGGTTATTATATGAAAATTATTATCGGTATAAGTTCTATAGCAAATTCTGCACATATTATTACACAAATTGTTTTTTTATCCGCATTTAATTATCAAACATCAATTGATTATTGTACATATACTGGAAAAATATTGAATCTAATCGGTTTTCATCGTTATAATGATGTATCATTTTTTAATATTATTCGTTTATGTTGTATGGATTTTATTGTACTATTAGTAACATGTTTAGTATTAGCTTTTTCTGTTCGTACCTATCATTCTAAATTATCATCATTAGGTGAAAATGTAAGCATTTGTAATTATTGAATGTTTTGTTTTGTTTTTTGTTGTTGAATTGTTTGTTAATTAAAAATTATTTCAAAATTCTATATTCAATAGGATGGTCGATTACATGAACGACGATTTACCGATGTTAGTTATGTTGCCGAATTAAGTGGTAGACGTTTTACCGATAGACAAACAATAATACCAAATAAACGACGATTAAAAAGAGAAAAAGCTGAACGTCTTAGCTATTATATTTGTGAATTTATATTCTTTGTTTCATTATGTGCATCGGCTATTCTGGAACCATCATTAACATCAGCCATATATTTTCTTTATTTTTTATTTATTGGATCATGGTTTGCTTTGGATCGTCCATTTGGTACTGGTTATCATTATTTTCGTATATTTATCGCCATTTTTGTTGGTCTACATTTTTCCATAATATTTTTCTATCAATTTTTAATGTTTCGTCCATTACTTCCACCGGATAATATTAATGCTCGTTTGTTCGGTTTGGTTGAATATACAAACAATACCTGTTATAATATACGAGATTTTAATCTTCATGAATATCATTTTGTAAGATTTTTACATCCGCTTGTATTGCTCACATTATATTTTGTATCCATTAAATTGATACGAACTGTATTGATCGATAAAAAATTATCACAGGTAAGTGATCTTCGGTTGAAAATTTATTCTATGTATTTAAGTGTGTGTTTGTTTGTTTGTTTATGTTAGTTTTAGTTTTATTTTCCTGTCTTTTTTTCTATGTGCATACTTTTTGTAACACATTGCTTCATATCTTGTCTTTGATTCTTGAAACTTTTTATCATTATCTGTCTAATTTTATGTTAACAAAAGAAAAATTATAATATTGATTGATTGATCAATTAATGATGAAAAAAAATGTAAATAATTCATTACAGCAATTAGCCAGAACAAATGATGGAAAAACACCAATCGTTTATATGGAAGATGATGAACGAAGACCAATGTTGTTGACAGAATCAATACACATGAATTATGCATTTGATATTAGAAGCAATGATCATACACCCGTATGTTTTACACATAGCACATAGATTTTTTATTTATTATTTGCACTATCACTATTTTTTTAAAAAAATTATTGATTTTGGATTCATTTTTAATTTTTTAATTACATCTTTTCTTTCCTTTTTTTTCGTAATCATTTTTCCCCTAAAATAACAGTTATTACGTATGAATCGATTAAATCGAACCTATCATTCGGTACGTGGTAGAGCCGATTCAATGATCGAACCACAAACATTATCACGTATTTCACATTTAAATGATGAATCATCAACGAATTTACATTCACAACAAATGTCCACATCATTACCACCATCACCAATACCAATTCCAACATCATCAAATATATTTAATAGTGGAAAACAATGTCGTGATCAATCGAATAAATTTTCATTATTCAATTTTGAACTGGTCAGCTTGGTTAAACGTGCTAGTTATGTTATAACATTAATCGTAATGATGACCTGGTCAATAACATATCATTCATGGCTTTCATTTGTTTTATTATTATTATCCTGTGTCATATGGATGACACCGAATTCTCGACAAACTTGTTTAAGTTCATCACCATTTTTAGTTTTCTATGCAATTGCTTTGGTTATTGGTCAATATATTTTTAGTTTAAATCTTAACGATGATGAATTACCAGTAACAATTGGTTCGATTAGTATCAGTGAAATTGGTTTTAAAAAATATGGTGAATTTTCTTATCAACCATTGTTTACGAAAATATTTTATACATTGTTTTTTTGGGTTACACTTCGTCAATACACTGAAAGTCTTAAAGATCCAATAACTAGTGACACATCACCAGGTATATTATCACCATTATTTAATCTTGGTCCTCGTGCTAACACAATGGCACCGACACCGGATGAGACACATCAACAACAACAGCATCAACTTGAAACACAACAAGGTTTGGCATCACAAAGTGAAATTTTTAATTCAATGATGAAATGTTTCAATGAAATATTGATCAAATATTGGATATGGATAGTAGCCATTATGCTTATGGTTATGTCATTAAGCGGTTCAAAAGTAGTCATCTATCGTATTGTTTATATGTTTTTATTTCTTATATTTACATTATTATTGTTAATTTCATTGAAATGGTGGCGTAAATTTATCTATCCATTCTGGTTGATTGTCATTCTTTATTCGATGATTATTTTGATTGCCATCTATACATATCAATTTAATAATTTTCCCGAATATTGGGAACATTATCTACATATTGATAAAGAACTACAGGAAGATCTGGGTCTAGTTGTTTATGATAATGATGCTTTTGTATTATTCAAAGAACTTTTAACACCAACATTTTTTATTATCATTACTATTATTCAAGTACATTTTGTTCATAAAGATTTTCTTGAATTTAGCAATATTGATGAAATACTTAATCGATTAGCAATGGCATCTAGTCGTAATAATTCTGTTGCACTTGATTTACGTTTAGAATCTGGCCAATCAAATGTATCATTAAATCCATCATTGATTAATGAAAATAATCGAGCATCAACAGCTACTAATACAGATCTAAAAAGTCAACCAAGTCAATCGGAAATTTCCGTACAAACGGTTATCTCAAAACGTAATAATAATATTAGACCAACAATGATGCGAAATTATTCACCATCAATGGCCAAAAGTGATTCAAAATTAAGTTTATTAACATCGAAACCAACATTTGCGCAAGAAGTTCAAGAAATATTTTCAAAATGTATTCGTCATCTACGTCAACTTATCGATCAATGGATGATTGTATTTTGGCGTTTTCTTGAAGTACATATTATGAAAGCTGTCTTACTTTGTACCGTAATCATTGCCATTCAAGATATTTCTGTCATGAATGTTATTTTTGTTTTTCTCACTATCGTCTTGATGATCTTCAGCCGATTTGAAAAGACAATTTGTTGTATGTTTGCCATATGGGCTGGAATATTGGTTTTATTGAAAATGTTATTTCAATTGGAAATTGCCCAACGAATTGATTGGTATACAAATTGTAAAGTAGATATGAAAATGATTCTAGTGGATAATCGAGCTTATATTGGATTCCTCAAAACTGATGATATTTTTACTTATATTTGTGAATATATTGCATTAATTATCATATTAGTATTTCGTCGGGTAATCATTTTAAGACAATATTTATATCGTAGTCAAGATTATGGTGATCGTCCATTATTTGAAGGTGTTATATTTCCAGATGTTGATCGACCAATGGCCGATAAAGATTTTGCCAGTTTTTTTAAATTTTTACTCAACTTTGGATTCTATAAATTTGGCGTTGAAATTTGTCTTATATTGATGACAATAACGACTGGCAACCATGGCGATATATTCAGTGTACTTTATTGTCTACTTCTTATTGCATTTGTATTATTCAATCGTGTAGAATGTCAACGTTTTTGGTCATATTTAGTTGGATTTATGGCCATCGTATTACCTTATCAATATCTGATGTGTTTAGGTATGGCGCCCGGTTTATGTTGGCTTTATCCATGGCACCATTTACCACAAGCTGATCTTGATTGGTATTTTTTACCCGATTTCAAACATCAATTACCCAAACAAAAACTCTATCTAGATTTTCTACTATTTTTCTGTCTATGTCGACAACTTCTTTATTTCCGTTTGGAATCAAAATTAAGCCAATATGGTGGATCAAATTTAGAAGCTTATAAAGAACAAACACCACCAAACGTGTTCGATTGTTTTTCATTTGGAACATCATTGTTTGATTCATTTAAATCGTATTTTTTGTTCTGTTTCTTTTGGATTACATTGGCCGTTCTATTTTTGGCTGGAACAACACGTATCAATTTATTCGGCCTTGGTTATGTTTTAGGTAGTTTTATTTTTCTATGGAATGGTAATGAATTCTATCTGAAACCAATGAAAATGATTTTTAAATCATGGAAAACAATCATTGGTTATACATGTTTGGCCATGTTACTTAAATCAATTTTACAAGTTTTCGTTTTAACATTATTACGAAATAATATGTGTTGGGCTGTACAATTAATGGGATTAAGTTATCATCAAAGAGATATTAATTGGTTTGATCCAGCAACCAAAGAACTTTTCGATAAATGTCCATCAACTGATTCTGGTCTTCTTTGGGATGGAATTTGTTTTACATTTCTTCTCATACAGAAACGTATATTTTGTAGTCATTATTTTAAATATCTTATTCGTGAAACAAAAGCACAACAATTTTTAGCAGCACGTGGTGCTGAATTAATACATGAAATTCAAGCACAAGAAGTAGCTGAACAAGAAATTGCCGAACGTGAAGTAATGGAAAAAATTAAACAAAAAATGGATCGAATCAAAGAAGCACAGCAACGAATGTTTGCCAATCAAGCTCGTAGCATTAAATATCATAAACAAGGTGAGTCATTTAATATTATCATTTTTTTAAAGAAATGTATTTCCATTTGTTTGTTTGTTTGTTTGATCGATAAGATGAGTATAATTATGATATATCGCCTTATGTTGACGGTGATGAAACATTATCACAAACATCGGAAACCGATGATTTTTTTTCACAAACATTGCCAACGGTTTATTCACCAACACCAAGTATTCCAACAATTACATCACCACAATCGGCAACATCACTTCAACCTGGTTATTTTGAAGTGTATAATGTTTGGCCAATACGACCGATCGATGCATCATCATCATCGAATACGTTTGCTTCGTTTAGTTTTTGTTCTGGTCAACAATCGATAGCCGATCGAGATCGACGCTATCATGGTATTAATATGGCTGCTTCTGCTGCCCGTATGACCAAAGAAAAACCACCATCAATAGCTCAAACATCATCAAGTAGAATACGTGAATCACCACCGACAACACGAATTATACCTCAATCGGTTCATCGTCGTACTTCGATTTCATCGACATCCATACGTGCACCGATCCATACACGACGATTGTCTCATGCCTCATGTAAAGTGAATTTGTTATTTAAATTTGTTGGTTGAATGATACTGCTGGATGAAATTTGTTTGTTTTTATCATGATTTGTTTTTGTTTTTTTGATTGCATGTTTTTTCCGTTATCAAATTTTTGGTTTGCTCGCTAGGCTTTTTTTTGGATTGATTGATTTTGGGAATGAATTTATTTATTTATTTTGTTATATATCAATCAATCATTTAAGATAATTACAGATAGTAATAATTTGATAATTTTTTTTTTCTTTTCAGCTGTCAAATCCGGTGGTTATTACATGTTCGAAGATGGTGATACTGAAGTTTGTGACCTTAATTATAAAACAAGAGAATCATTAATACCGGATCCAGAAGGTGATGAAATACGTAATATTGCCAGATCAAAAGGATTCACTGCATTTTGTTCGAAAATATTTAAAGGTGAAGATACATCCGAAGCTCCATTTGTTTCAGATGAAATTACCGATATTGGTGAATCAAGTCATGATTCACCAATTATATCAGTCGAACGAATCAAACGTAATCCTGATTCATCACGTCCAACAACGATGACTTCCGTACCGGATTCTCAAGCAACCGATTTTTCGGCATTTTCATCATTAGTTTGTAGTGTTCCTGCACATATCGATCAACCGATTCCTGAAGATCAACAGCAACAACAACATCAGAAAACAATAAAACAAGAATCTGAAAAATCATATTCATTAGAAAGTGATGAGCAACAAGAACCAACTTATATGGAAAAGATTCGTAGCTGGTTTGATTTTTTCAAAACATTTACCGAAAGTATTTTCATTAGTTCAACATCAAATCTGAATGCTGTTTCACGTGATTATCGTTTTGTTGCAAAACGATTAGCTGTTGAGAAAAAATGTTTGAAAAAAATTATTGAAATCAAAGAACTTGACGGTATACAATATGATTTTATTGGTGATCAAATATGGAAGAAAAATACATTGGCCAAATTATCCAAATTGACTGAAAAAAGTTTAGAAGATGTAGCCAAAAGTGATGCAAACGATGTTCTACGTGTTTGGAGTGATTTGGATGCAACATCTACCGATACTAATAAACATTTATATCATGTTTCATTAGATTCACGATACATGGAAACAAGTATCTATATTCATTTTTTTCGTGCTATATTCTATGCTATTCTATCACGTTCTGAAGTTATTTGTTATATAACAATTGTTATTAATCAAATTACATCAGCATCAATTTTATCGATTCCATTACCGATGTTAACATTTCTTTGGGGTTCATTATCCGTACCGCGTCCATCAAAATCCTTTTGGGTTACTTGTATTACTTATATTGAAATTGTTGTCGTATTGAAATATGTTTTTCAATTTCATTTTTGGCCATGGATTGAATTGGTAAAACCATCACCATTTTGGTGGCCACGTTTATTGGGCATTGAAAAAAAAGATAATTATGCTAATTATGATTTGGTTTTATTATTGGTACTATTTTTTCATCGTTTTATGTTAAAAAGTCTTGGCCTTTGGGATCTTAGCGAAACCGAAATCAAAGCCTATATGACCAATGCTGAATTATTTCAGACTCGTATTGAAGATGATGATGAATTTCCCGAAGTAAATCCGGCGAATAATGGTAAAAAATCAAAACATTCGAAGAAAAAATCCAGCAGTGGTAAGAAAAATAAATCTTCACAAAAAACGGTTCAGGAAAAACCATCTGAAGAGCAACAAAAACAACAACAACAGCAACAAGAAATTTCAAGTGATGACCAGATTGATCCGTCATCAATGATGATGATAGCACCATTACCGCCACCATTACCTGAACAACATTTATATGAAAATGAATTAATGCAACAGGAAGATGATGAAGTATCGGAAGGTGATGAGATAAATTTTATTTATTTTTTAATGGAAATTCCTACACGTACTCGTAAAAAGTAAGAATTTAGATTTGTTAATTCTTGAGAAAAAAAAATCATCATTATCCAAATAATTTAACAGATTTATAGCCAATGTGAGTCCAGTGTATAAATTTTTTCATAATGTTCTTCATCCACCTTATCGAATCACACACGATGTTTATGCATTAATGTTTCTTTGTGATTTTATCAATTTTTTCATATTGGTCTTTGGTTTTTATGCTTTTGGAGTAAGTTTTTTTTTTAAATTGTAAATCAATTTCATTTTATATTGGATTTTTTTTTCGATCAGAGTGGTTATTCTGGCAGTGAAGATGTTGCCCGTTTTCTTGAGGAGAATAAAATTCCTATTGGTTTTTTAATCACATTGTTGATACAATTTGCTCAGATTATTGTTGATCGAGCTATTTATCTTCGAAAATATATCAAAGGAAAGCTTTTATTTCAGATTTTTATCGTAATATTTACACATATGTGGTTATTCTTTGTATTACCCGCTATGACCGATAAGTAAGTATAAATATTTTATATGTTTATCATTGAATAATTTTTTTTAAAATTTCAGAGCCTTTACGGATAAAACAAATTTACCACCGAAATTATGGTACATTTTTAAATGTATTTATTTTCTATTATCAGCATTTCAAATACGTAGCGGATATCCGACACGTATATTGGGTAACACATTTTGTAAAAAATATAATTTCGTTAATTGGTATCTATTTAAAGTGTGAGTAATTTTTTTAAAGAAAAAAAATATGATTTGAGGATCATTATCATTAAAAAAATCACAGGTACATGCTCATACCATTTGTTTATGATCTTCGTATGTATATGGATTGGATTTGGACAGATACAAGTCTTGTTCTTGATGAATGGTCATTAATGGAAGATATTTTTGTCAATCTTTATCAACGTAAATGTGAACTTCGATTGGATGAAGAATTTCCGGAACCTAGAGGTCGGGCTAAGAAACGTTTTTTCAAATATCTAATTGGTGGTTCTTGGGTGATTATCATCATTGGTAATTTGAAATTTGTCTAAAATTTATTTAATGATATTTGAAATGATAATCTATTTTTTTCCCAAAAATATAGCTTTAATCTGGGGTCCACTTGTATTGTTTGCGTTTGGTCGTGCTGTTGGTGAGATTAATCCACCTATTGGTGCAACTTTCGAGTTGGAAATCGGTGGTTATCAACCATTGTTCAAGATGAGCGTAACCGATAGTGGATTAGTTCCTATAAGTGATCAAAAATGGTCAAAACTTAGTTCAAGTTTTAACCGTGATCCTGTAGCACAAACATTCATTAATGGCTATGATCAACAAGATGTTTATATTGTTAATCTAAATGGTAATTCAACAGCTGTTTGGGGAATTTCTCCACCAAGTCTAAAGATATTACAAAACGAATTACTTTCAAACCAAGCACCATTGAACATGAAATTAACTTATTTTTTAACAAGAAAAAAGACCAAAACACAAGATATGGATACGTCCATTTATGATGAATATTTGATCGAATTACATCCGCACAAAGATAAGGATTTACGAGTTAAATTAGCCGATATGATATCAAGGAGTGAAGAACAAAGTCCGGCAATCATACCTCATATATTTCCAAACTATCTTCGTGCTCCCGAAAAAGGTAAACCTATTGTTGTCACAGAATTAGCACAGAAAAACTATGGTTTACATCAATCACAAATGTCGAAAAATAAATCGATGAATTTTCGAAATCTATTAATTTTACTAAAAAAAGGAGATTATGAAGATAATTCTTCAATGACATCATGGTGGGAAATTCATGATGATTGCCAAAATACTGATTATCTTGATCCATTTCTTAAGAATTTAATGATTACCGAACATTGTCAATTTCTTCCAGTCATTGTGTTTAATGATAAAGTTTTTATCGGTTTATTAGCCTTTCTTTCTGGTTATGGTATAATTGGTATATATACTACATTTGTATTTTTAGTTTCACGTTGGGTACGTGGTCTTAATTCTGAATCATCATTTAAAGTAATCTATACACGAATGCCAAATGTTGATCGTGTTTTACAATTATGTTTGGATATTTATCTTGTACGTGAAAGTCGTGAATTTGAATTGGAAGAAGATCTTTATGCTAAATTAATATTTTTATATCGATCACCTGAAACATTGATTAAATGGACAAAAATCAGTGAAGAAATTGCTAGTGTACCATCTAATCAAAATCAACAACAACAACAAAAAAATGATCAAGAATGAATGGAAAATTTTTTTTTAAATGAAATATGAATAAACAAAAATATAATTATATTAATCACAACTAGTCACTTTTTGTTTCAAAAATAAATGTATTGTAAATATTAATTTTTAATCAAATTTAAAATGTGTTTATTTTTTCAAAAATAAATTTAAACAATTATGATGTTTTATGATTTATAAATATTAAACAAAATGAAAATATTTTTATCGCTTTTTATGATTAATAGCTAACGATTAAATTATGGATGAAGTGATATCATTTGTTGGTGGTACACGACGAAATCGGCCAAATCGTGGCGGTAGCAGTGGAGGAGTATTAACAGCATTAGGCACTAGTTATGGTGGAAGATGTGTTTTTGTTATTTGTACTGAATTAGGTTCAATCTATGTTATATCTGAACGTGGTACATTAATACGTAAAGCTAATGTTAATGGTCATTCAGATATTCCTATTGCACAAGCAGAATCATTACGAACATTAACTGGATTTGTTCGTACAAATCCAACATTAATAACTATTCGTTTAAATGGTCAAACCGAAATTGATCTAATGTATTGTCATCGTAGTATACAAAAAGTTTCAGGTAATTTATGTCGAAAGATATTGTTATTAGGAAATACTAGTATACTTTTCGGTGGTAATATTCAATCGGAATTGTTGAACACATCGATCGATACAACTATGAATGAAATTGATCGTTGTCCACCATTTTTTGATTCACAATGTTTTGATCTTAATCATCAAGATGAAATTGAACTATCAAATGGTGGTTATTGTGCAATACGTGTTAGTAGCAATCGACATTACATTTATATGGAACCTAAAGTATTTCGTAATTGTGTTGCATATGAAACCAAACGATTAGAATCATATAAAAAATTAGGATCGATTCTAGAAGAATTTTGTTGAATATAAATAAAAAAAATAATAAATTTTGAAATGATAACTGCGGTATTTGCATTTTTTTCAATGATTTTTTTTTTGAATTCCAAAAAAAAAGTTTTCCGGAAAATTTCCACTAGAAAATTTCCCTGCAATCATTTTTTTTTCAATATTTATTTGCTGTTGAGATAAATATTCTTTTCAGCCAATTTCTTATCTTCATCTTCTTACTCACAACAATTTTGAGATTATTATTTTATCATAAATAAAAATTATAATTTTCAATATGTATATTGACCTACAATAAAAATCCATGATTTGTTTATTGTCATGTATGAATGAAGGGTAAGCATAAAAAATTATTTTGTTCCAAAGAGTAAAAACTATCATGATTTCATTTTTTTTTCTCCCCTATTATATACAGTTGCTACAATCATTTTGTTTATTTAATTTTTCATTCACTCATCATTGATCGTGTATATGTGCGTGTTTTTGTATTTGAATGGATGCGTTTGACAATCAGGTTACATTATTTTCACGTAGCATTAATCATATATTTTTACCAATCATTATGGATCCATTTGATTCATTTCAACGATCACCGATTAAAGGAACATTTTTTTTACATTTTATATTGTTCATATGGTTAGTTGATATATATGATTTTTATTAATTAATTTTTTAAAAAAAATTTATTTCAGTTCAATGATAACTGTCAATTGGCTTCCCGATGTTTGTTTTCTATATAATCTATTATTTTTCCTATGTCTTTTATGGGCATTGGAATCAAAATATAATCCTGAACCGGTACAAATTGCTGCCATTATTAATCTATTAGCAATATTGTTCGATATAATAGTCATGTCAACCAATTTTAGTCATAATCATTATCGTGACGGATTTGGATTCAGTATCTTGTGAGTTTAATTAATTTTGTTGTTAATTCCAATAATGATTTTTTTTATTCTTCAATAGTTTACTTATCTGTAATATACTGGTACGTCCATTTACAACATTCGTTTTATTACGAATTCATAATGATCGTGAGCTTCGACAAACATTATATGGTGGTGCAACAACCGGTTCTGGTATTCATAATCCTAATCATGATCAATTTGATGTATTTGGTATTGGTGGTCGTCAAGGTTATCAAGATCTGGATAGTCAACAACAACAACAACCACAATCTGAAAATCAATTATCGCAACAACAACAAACAAAATCAAATGGACCATCATCAACAACCGTTGTCAATATGCCATATCAATCGGTACCCGATCAATTTCCACAGCTTATCGATACAACAACAACAACACCAAACAAACAATAATTCCAAAATATATATTCAATTATTCTTAAATTGATTGAAACCAATCAATCAAATGCATTTTTTATAAAAAAAAAAATCAACAAAACAAATCCAATAATGAACTTTTATTTCTAGTCCGATCATTTTATTTTAATTGAATAAAAATCAAACATTTTTTTTAAAAAGAGAAGTAAAATTTGTTTTTTTTTCAAAAATACAAAAAGATAATTTAGGATGGAAAAAAAAGATGAGAAAAAAATTACAATTTTTTCATTTCGGCCACAATTTTTTTCAGTTCACAAATGTTTTGTTCGACTTTTTTTTGTCGTTCTTCAATCTCGATAATCAATTTTGATTCATATTGTTTAAATTGTTTATCACGTTCACGATAATCATTCATGATTTGATATTTTTTCTCAACAATCTCTTCTTCTAAATTGTCAATTTTTTCATCCAATTCATTTGTCGATAATTTGTTTGTTGTAAATAATTTTTCAACATCATTAATTTTCATTTTTAATTGTTCAATTTCTTTATTCAATTCATCAATTTTATTTTGATGTTCAATTTCAATATCATTTTTTTGTTGCCAAATTTGTTTAAATTTTTCTTCAAGAACTTTAAATTCTTGTCGTTGTTGATCACATTGTTTTTGTTGTTTTTGATTCTGACAGGCAACTTCTAATGATATTTGTGTTTTCAATGTTGTTTCCTGTTGAATTAGATGCATACGAAAATCTTTCAAATTTTTCATCATTATTATTTCCAATGAATCAAATGTTTCATCAAAATTTTCATCTATTTTCGATTTGAATTGTTCAAATTTAGCTATAAATTCTACCCATTCATTATTCTTATGAAATTTTATCGATTCATCCAATAAAAATTGATGAATTTTAGAATTTTCATACATTACACAAATCAATGAAATCATTTCACTAATATCACGCATTAATGATTCTAATTTAGAATGTTCACGTTTAATTTCCAATGTTAATGTTGATATTGTTGATTTTGTATTCTGATTTTCCTGTTCAGCTTGTTCAATTTCTTCCTGTAGTTGTTTTCTTCGTTCAATTGCATATTGATATTCAATGACAAGATGTTTCTGTGAATCGACCAACGCTTCTAATCGTTTATTTTCGGCCTTTAATTTTATCAATTCTTCTTTATTCGATTCAATCTCTTCGTTTAAAGCATTTTTTACCTTTAAATTTGCCTTGTTATGTTCAATCATTTCTTCAATATATTTTTGACAATTTTCAAAATCATCTACCAATTTTTGTAGATCATTTGGCAATTCACTTAGATAAGATATTTCTTGATCCAATTTTTGTTTCGATAGTTCAAGTTCATCAATTTCATCATGTAATTTTTTCGATTGTTCTTGTGTACCATAAAGTTTTTCGGCCAATAATTTTAAATGCTTTTCTTTCTGTTCAATTAATTTAAAATGATTTTCTTTTTCTTCATCAATATCCCAATCAAGCATAGGCAATAGATCATGTAAACGTGGTAGAACTTTATTCATATCCACTGTATCATCATTATCGAACATAATTTCACCATCTTCAGACCAGAAAAAATAATTACTTCCAATCAAACGATTTGCATCAACATTTTGTAAATAGCTTGCTAAAACGAAAAGAGATTCGAACATAGAAAGAACAGTACCAAGTTGACGACCACCACTGAATGATGTTAAATCAGAATTTTTTATCGAATATGGATAGCCAAGTAATTGCATTTGTTTTGGTACGACAATATTTAACGATGTTTGTGCACCACTTTTAATAATAATGTTTTCATTAAAAAATGAGAATAAAAATTGAAATATTCGTGATGCTTCACTCAATGATAAACGTAATAAATTTTGACGTGTTAATTGTGGTTCATAACCATTCATGTTAAGAAATTCAACAATTTTATCCGCACATTCACGATGATAATTTTGATCGGATAATGGTCGATTATCTTTCGATGTTGAATATCGTGATGAAACGGATGATCTACTTGCCGTTGATAATCGTGCACTTGATACAACACTACTTGGAATATATGATGTTCGTTTTGTTTGCGGTGTAAGACCAAATAAATTGGTACCGATACCATTTTTCTTTACCGAATTAAAACCATTAAATCCAATACCACCATGATCAATCATTGGACGATGTGGAATACGACTTGCCGATTTTATGGCCGATGGTATATTACTTCGATTATCATATGGATTTTTTGATTGAAACAAATGATTAAAATTATTCTTTGCAGAAGACATATTTTTGTTGATTAGAGCAAATGAAAAAACATGAAAAAACGAAAATGAAGCAAAAAAAAAACCGTTGGAAAAAAAACAATGTTTTTCAAATAAAAGGCGGCAATATTTTGTCAAATTCATAAAAGACGTGCACATTGAAATTGAGCAACTGAAAAACTGCCGATCGATCGATATATCGCGGTGTTTGTGTGTGTGTGTGGGGGAGAGAAAAGTGAGACAAAAAAATATTCGAGTTAAAATCTTTCATTTTTCTTCAATAATTTTTCACAAAGGTGTTCGAAATATTTGAAATTAGTTTAAATTTAATTGTGAAAAATATAGAAAAACCACTTGTTTCATTTTACTGAAAAAAAATCATATAGATAGATTTTTTTACGACTGAAACTTTGTATCAAAAATTCAAATTGGTTAGGATTAAGTAAAAATCCAAGTAAGTTTTATTTCATGATTTGTTATTATAAAATCGACAATGATGATGATGATGATAGAACTAATAATAAAAAAAAAATAGAACGAATAATGGCTACCAATGATTCGCAATTAGCTTGGAGTATTAAGAATGGTGATCTTGATACGGTTAAAGAAATCATCGAACATATAGGGGTAAAATTGATTGATTTTATGAAATAAAAACATTTCTTTTAATTATTATTATTTTTTTTTAATCAACAAAGCAGACATCGAATATAGACATTATGATCGATGGACGACGACCAATACATTATGCAGCTGATTATGGTCAAAAAGAAATTCTTGAATATTTAATTCAATTAGGTGCCAATGTTAATGTAAATAGATTTCTGTTTTTTTTCTGATGAATTCATCATTTCTTTTTTAATTTTTTAATGTTTACCATTGTCAATCATTAGTCATTAGACAGACATGGAATATCGGCATTATTGGCAGCTATATGGGAAGGACATATTGAATGTTGTCGTTTACTTATATCGAATGGTGCAAAAATTGATGGCCGTACACCGGATGGTAAAAGTTATGTTGATGCGGCTGAAAATGTTGAAATTAAACGTTTACTAATGACTACATCATGAAATTTAATGAATGAACAAACTAATTCAACATCATCATCATCATCATTGATCGATTCGTTTCATAATATTTTAAAATTTCAATGAACAAAAAAAATGAAAATAATCAATCAAACCAAACCCCGGATGAGCACAAGAATTTTGATCAGGCAATTCATTATCAATTGTTTTGTGATTTTTTTTTTCTATAATATTTCCATTTTTTTTTGTGTTTTTTTTTCTGAAAAACCTTTTGCTGGCCATACACAAATAATTTGAACAAACAAAAATATTTGGTTCAAAAATTCAGCTTAATTTATTTTATATTCTTCTTTCTTTTGTTTGTTGTTCAGTTTACAAAATTTTTTTTTTGTATTACAAACAAATATTTTTTAAAAATCATTTGAATAAATTTCTTGAATAAAGATTATTATTTACAATTTTGTTTGAATTATGCAATTGGCACACACACACACACACACACACCTACACCTTTGGTATTGATTCGAATTGATGGAAGAATTGGACTAGGTGGACGGATTAGATATTCTATTTCATTTTTTGTTGGTTCATTCAAAATTCATCATGCCGAGTTAATGCATCACCAAAATCAGTTGCTTGACTACCAACAAATACATCATAATTATCAAGAATTTCATCATGGCTAAGTATACCATCTTTATTTGTATCGGCTTCATAGATAAGATGTTTAGCTTCAGCATCAGCATGATCATAATTTGCTGGTACAATCCATTCACGAATTTCATTACGATCAAGAAAACCATCACCATTTTTATCTCTATATGTATGAAATTGTTCACGTTCACGTTGAACCCATTCAGGTATATTTGATGATGATGATGATGAACTATCTTCAGCTGAATACATATCTGATATATATTCAGATTCGGAAATTTTACCATCACCATCACGATCAACATCTTCTAATGTTTCATCAACAACAACATCATACATTTTTTCCGATTCTTCTGGATGTAAAAATAGAATAAATTCATCACGATCCAATGTTTTATCACCATCAATATCGGCCATTGACCAACGACGTTCATCACGTCGTAACATATCATGATAGGTTTTCATATCATCGATTGTTCGTTTTGGATTGTCACCAATTTCATCAAGAAATCCATATGTTTTATTACGAAATCGTTCCCAACTTAATTTTTTTATTGTTTGATCATTATCAGTATGTACTTGCCATTGACGATCAACATCTTCATAGATATAACGTTTTTGTGATTGTTGTATCCAATTTTTCAGTTCTAATTCGGTTACATTACCATCACGATTTGTATCAATTTTATCAATAATTATTGATAAACGTGAACGACTTTCTTCGGGTGATAATTGATCAAATTCATCTGCTTCATCCGTTGAACCAAGAAATGCTTCATGATCAAAATCTCGATTATGTTGTTGTTCATGTAAACCATCATCATGTTCAATATCTTGATAATGTTCTTCATCACTTAATTGTTTTTTAATTATGCGTGAATTTGAATTATGATGATGTTGTTTTTTATCCGGTATAGCTAAACCATAAACAATAGATATGATTATAATCAATAAGATTACATTCGATAATGTACGCATATTGAACATTTTTTTCTTCTTATATTTCTTTCTTCTTATAATGATTTTATTTTGAAATTAAAATCAATCATAAGATGATCATAATTAATTCCTTTCAAAAAAAAAAATTCACCAAGAAAAAAAAATGATGATCAATTATTCTGATGAGAACGTGTACATAAAAAGACACAATAGAATTTTACTATTTTGACTAAATTGGTTCAGAAGTATTCTCGCCAATTTTGGCCGGGATATTCCTCAAATTATTTCGGATGATAATCTTAAAGTGAAAAAAAATACATTTTTCTATTCAATTTTGTTGCATTATAATAAATGAGAAAAAAAAGATTGATAATTTTACAAAAATGATAATTGATGCAAACAATTCTAGAATTTAAACTGATATTTTTTCGATGATTTAGATGTAGATGAACCGCTAGTTGTTTCTTGTTGTTTTTGATGATCATGTTTTCGACGTTTTTGTTTCGATGCATGTTCGGCCACCATATCGGAAAGATCTTCATGTGGATTTTTTGATCCGGATGTTTCACGCAATGTTTGTTCATATTTAGCGGCCATTGTCGATGAATCCAGACCAATTCCAGATTCAAGATCACTTGGATCCAATGCTACATCTACTCCATTATTCGATGATGATTTGGATGAAGTTGTATGACCAGTTTTCGATAACGATGCAAAATCGTATACGTGCATTGAGCCCATCATATCTTTGGCAAAACGATCCACCTTTTTTTCGGGTATCACAGTGAATAACTGTTGTTGTTGGTCACCACTAATGAAAAAAATTTGATTAAACACAAAGAATTCAAACAATCAAATTGAATGACAAACCTTTCCATTTCAGCTTCTATTTGTTGTTTTCGTTTACGTAATTCGATCATATCTGGAGTTTCTAAACCGGATGGTATACCAGTTGATATTCCGCTTGGTGTAACAAGACCTTCAGCATTGACCGATGGTGTAACCAATCCTGATGTATCTTCTGCATCTTTCTTTTCACCATCTTCTTCGTCTTCTTCTTCCGATTCTTCCTCTTCTTCTTCTTCATCAGATTCCATTTCACCCCAATGCGTTCGATCAATTTCTTCATCTGGTTGAATATTGTCACTGGTTGCCGAAGTAACACCAAATACATCACCATATAATGGACGACCATATTCATCAACAGGTGGTTTGCCCCAACCACCAGCATGATAACCGAAACAACATCCTTCGGGAATTGGTGCATTTAGCCCAGCTATTTTTATATTAGGATACGATGGTGGTGGTCCATAACGTTGCATAGCAATCAACCATGGTGGTGGACATTTATGTGCATTTGGTCCTGTCGGCATTCCTAATGCTTGGCGCAATTCGTTGGTCAATTCACCCGGTTTCTTATCTTTCAATCGTGTTTCGAACTCCTTTCCTTCATAATACAGATCACCGTGGATGGTCACTTTCGGTTTTGTTTGCCATTTAAAAAAAGCATCATGTAGTTTTTGATAATCAATATCAATTTTACCCATTTTCGGGCGAATTTTTTCCTTCATTTTTGTTTTCAATGATTTGGCATCTTCTTTTTCAAGTACAGCTTCACGCATCTCTTGAATGCCAGTTCGTCGAATAAATTCCGGTAATTTGAATGGCGGTTTTTCAAATCCACGTTTTCCTTGTAGATATTTTCGTTTATAGCACCAATGCCGAGGAACAGGTACCGTATTTCTGGTTGATTTTAAATACAATAGTATGACCGGATCTTTAGCGGTTATATCATGCATTTCAACCAGTTCAGGATGATTCACTCGTTGTTTGAGATCAGCAACAGACATTCGTGTCATTTGTTTTATTCGACGCTTCGACAATCTTTGTCCACCCATTTCACCATCTTTATCATCGTCATCTTTCAATTCAAGTTCAACTGGTTTTTTCAATTCCAACAATTTTGCTCGATCATCTTTCCGATTACGTGATTCCTGTGCTAAGCGTTCTTGTTCCAGCCGTCGTGCTTCATCTGAACTGACAGCTGAAAATTTATCAAAAACTTTAAGGAATTGCAAATATACAGAATCTTTAGGCATGTCTTCTGGTACATATCTAGTTAAAGGAAAAAGTGTTGTTAACATAAAATTTCACTGAATTTACTAAAACTTACTCAATTTCAATCTTATCAACGTCTTTTTTATTCGCTTTTTCCCGTTCGGCTTCCTCTTCAAGTTGTCGTTGTTTAGCTAATTGTTCTTGTCGTCGGCGTTCCATTTCTTCCATACGTTTACGTTCTTTTTCCTCTTCTGGTGCATCTTCTTCATCAATATCCATTCTATCATCATCCTCATCTTCTTGTTTGATTGCATCATCAATAGCTTTTTCCAATTCTTGTTTTCGTTTTCGTTCAGCTTCCATTTGTTCACGTTGTTTTCTTCGTTCATCTTCACGTCTTCGTTCAATTTCATCACGTTCTTTACGTTTGATTTTATTTCGATGTTTTTTCTTCAATTTACGACGTTGATTTTTATTCAATTTAGACCATTCTTCTTCGGTCATGTTTAACGTTTGCAATAATTGTTGCCGGTCTGTTTCATCATGCACCTCTGAAAAACCGCCATCTATCATTTCATTTGAATCCTGTTTATTAGTATCGACAATTTCTGTTTCAATTTTTTCGATTAAATTGTTTTTAGTCACATCAACATCCTGAACTAGTTCTGATTCATTTTCAACCAATTCTACTTCATGAGTTTCATGATTTTCCGATTCGAATGGAATAACTTCTGGTTCATTTGAATCATCTGTTTTCAGTTGTTCATTAAGTCTATCTTCATAATTTTGTTGATCAGATTTTTCCGATTCATTTGATTTTTCTTCATTTTCATCTTGTTGTTGTTGTTTTTGTTCATCAATCTTTTCATTTATTTGATCATCAACAGCATTATCGAATAAAATTTGCTGATCAATAGAATTGTCTTCAGTTGATTTGAATTGAGGTTCTTCTTGTAATTCTTGGTGTGGTTGTTCTTGCTCTGATTTCATTTCAGGATGCGGTATCAATTCTTGCGCCAGAAATTCTTGTCTTAATTCAGATTCTTGAACCGATTCTTGTTGTTCGGGTTCATCAAGAATTTCTTGTTCTGCACTTAAATCGGATTCTTGAACCAATTCTTGCGGTTGAGGTTCGTCATGAATTTCTTGTTCTGCTCTAAATTCTTGTATCAATTCTTCCTGTTGTCGTTGTTGTTGTTGATAATATATTTCTTGATCGTTCATATTAGTAACTAATTGTAACGGCTGTTCCATCAATTGTTGTGGTTGTTCTTGTTCGGATATAATTTGCGATTGTGATTGAATATTTGGAATATTAACAATGTTATTCATTGTTTCGGTCATTTGTGGCATTTCAATTGTTTGCTGTTGTTGTGATTCTGGTTCTGGTTCTGGTTCTGGAGGCTGTACAAGAATTGTTCTTTGCGTTGGTTGTACAATATAAAGTTGTTGTTGTTGTGGCTGAGGCGTTGGTGGAGCTTGTTGTTGTTGTTGATGATGAATTTGATTAAGATATGGCTCAAAATTTTGTTGTTGTTGTTGCATTTGCATTTGCTGATATTCTTGAAATTGGATCTGTTGCTGATGTTGTTGTTGTTGTTGAATCAACATTTGCTGTTGTAATTGTTGTTGTGCTTGCTGTTGTTGTTGAAAAAGTAAAATTTGCTGCTGATGTTGCTGTTGAAGTTGTTGATGATGATGAATCTGGTCAATTTGTTGTTGCGGCAGCAGCACTTGTGCCGATAATTGATTTGTCTGGAATTGCTGAAAACGTTGTTGTTGTTGTTGTTGTTGCTGCAATTCGATCTGATTCAATGCATCAGCAAGCTGTCTAGCAAGATCGGCTTTCAAACCTGTCATCAAATTTATGAAAAAAAAAATTAAGTTTATCAAATGTTTTGATTAAGAAGAAAAAATAATGATGATGATGATGATAAGCATGATTATCACACAATTATCATTGTACTTACCGCGTGGTTGTAAACCCAATTCCTGAAGTTTTTGCCTTAATTCGGGCACTTTGAATTTCATTAAATCAGCTTCGGTCACCATTTTTTTTAATTCTTCTTCTTCTTTAAATTAATCACTTTCTATTAATTAAAGGATTCAATGAATTATCCGTTTCTATCGAATGTATATGTCTAAAAATAGATTTTTTTTTTGTTGTTGTTTGGTTAATCAAGTCAAAAGTATTAGCGCACATGTAATCAACAACAAAAAAAAAGCGGTCTATTGAGATCTCGATTGACCACATTCGATCGATCCAGATACCATCGAATCCACATTCACTCACTATCGAATCGTAAACAATCGATATAAGTGAATGATGATAATATTTTTCAATTTCTTTTACTTAAAATTTTAATAGAATTTTCGCATAGCCATCATTATCAAACAAAATTAATTTTTTGTTATTTAAATTAAAATTAGAAATAATTTTTTTTTTACAAATTATAAATTACAAAAACAATCGGGGGAAAAAACAATCGTTTACACGCCCACATTTTTAGTGATAAACATTGGCCATAGATGTCAGTGTCAAAATGGTATACGATTCGATTTTAGGAGAATTCGAATAAATAAAATTCTATCCAAGAATTTTACCTTAATCCATCTGACCATTTACCACGTGGAATATCTGAATATGAAGCTGGATCCATTGGATCTAATCGATTTCGATTTTCAACCATCCGACGTAATTTTTTTACTTCAGTTGGTTTAGGTTCATCTGAATCATTGTCTTCATCTTCATCATCAGAATTATCATTATCACTATCATCATCATCGTCGTCGTCGTCGTCATCATTTTCATCGTCGTTTGAATCATTTTTGGTTGATTCTTTTTCATCACTACTTTCATTTTCATCATCATTATGATCATCTCGTACTAATCGACGAAGTTTTTCTGCTGATATTGATATTTTTGCATCTGGATGATTTGGTGGTAACCAAGAAACCTGATCAGTTTCTGTATTCCAAAAATAAAATGTTTGTCTATATGTTTAAAGAACATTTAGTCAAAAAAAATAGATAAAATATTCTTCATACTTACAATCCTGGTTCATAAACTTGTTCCCATACTGAATCTTTTAATGGATATTTTTTCAAAAGTTTAGCAAATATTTTACGAATACGTTTATTCGGTTCGATTCGTACATCGGCATATTTTTTTGCACAAAAACTTGTACAATTATGATAAATATTATATTTATTTGGACAACCAATAACCGTATCTATAGTTTTCAATTGAATAAATTCTTGTTTAGGTGTTTCATCATAATCTTCGGCAATAACTTCTTCATGTTCAATTGTCGATGGTAATGGTTTTTCCAATAGACCACGTTTAGCTAAACGTGCTGCTAATGCAGGTGGTAATTTAGACATTTTTTGAAATGATAAAAAGTATTTTCAAAAAATTAATTTTTCAGTCGGTGAGTTTTTGGGGAAAATAAAAGAATCAAACGAATAACTATCGTTCATAAATGAGATGACAGAATTTATTTTGAAATTTTTCTTCTTTTTATTTATTTTCAAAAATCAAAAACAACCGGGAAAAATAATTAGGGAAAAAAACAGAAAAAAATAAATAAATAAAAAAACGCATACAGATACTGTACCAATTGTTGGGAATCACATTTGAATGTTTGTTTGTAATTTTTTTTTTGTTTGAAAAGAAAAAAATGTTTGTTTTCAATAAACTCTTTGTTTACCATTCAAATTGAAAACTTTATGAAAAATATTACGCCTAGAACGTACATAAACAAATATTGATAATAATAAAATTATTGAAACAACATAGAATACAAATATAAGATTTATATCTGTTTGTGTGAATGGACTTGAAACAAGCATGAGTATTTTACTTCTTGGTTTGGTTGCATGATTAGTTACAGAATCATCATTATCTGTTATCATTATTGGATGATCAAAATCAATGAGTGGTTGTTTTTGTTGTGGTTGTTGTTGTTGTTGTTGATCATTAAATTCTGAATCATCAAGAATAATTCTTTCGGATGCATAAAAATTGACTAGAAATTGTAATATTTTTGTTTCATCATAATATTCAATATATTTGGTTGAATTTTTCCATAAATTCAAATCATCTGGTGGTTGTTTACGATAACATTCATTACATTCATTATATAATGGAAATTGTCGTTTAGGCAATCGTGGATCTTCTGATCTTGATCCTTTTAATCGTGCATTAACACGATTATGTGCACGCCATAACCATAATACCGATGAATTTGGATATGTTAATTCATTTTCAAGCATACTTGACATTTTTGTAAAATGCATTGAACATTCAGTACAGCCGAAAAAATTCCGTATATATTCACGCATTGCATATAATGTTGGATGTAATGATAACCATTGTTTTGTTTGTAATGTACGACGATATTCAGCAACAGTTAGTACATGAAATAATGTCCATAATGAACATGGATATGATCGATGATATCCATCAGATATTACTGCACATGCTTTCCATGGTTTTTGTTCAGGAAAATGATAATATTCTTCATACATATTCATTGTTGTTAACATATCTTTAGTATCGATAACCATATCATTATTATGTAATGATGATTTACCTGATCGTGATGATCGTGCATTACGATTCGAATGTTTAACCAACCAATCATGAAAATGTTTAATAAATTGTTTTGTTTTATCATTTTGAAATCGAAAACTTTCATAAAGTACATTCAATAAACGAATTAAACTATTTGTTTGTTCTTGATTAAGATATTGTTTTAATGGAACTTCATGAAATAATGCATAACGAATAGCATTATGTAAATCAGACATGTATATTCTTGTTGAATATTTTACAACAACTGTTGATTGATCTGGTAATGTTTCATCATCATTAGTTTTCTTTAAATTCATTTCTTCATGATCATAATTTTTAACAAAATCTTTAGCAATTAATTTTGTCATAAATATACCATCATCTTCATCTGACATTATTGGTTTCGGTATAACTTTAATCTGATGATTTTCCGGTGTTATAACATATAAAAATGGTAAGGATATTTTTTCCAATGCATTCGATTGATTTTGATCGGATAATTGTAATAAATGTTTATTATCCGATGATTCTTCCATACGAAATATACGTAATTCATTTGTGTGCAATGAAAAATTCATCATTAACTATGTTAAATATAAAAGAGAAAAAATTTTCAATCAGAAAAAATTCATATATCTAAAATAACAAAGAATGTACCTCTTGTCCGAATAATGAATCATTTTTTTCAACAATAATCAATACAGGACGATGATCATTATCAATATCAAGTTTTTCAAATAATTGTTCTTTATTTTCAACTTTTAATGGAAGAAAATTTGGCCAATGTTTTGGAATATCATTGATATTATGTTTTTCATATTGATCTGAAAGCCATCCAATAAAACTTTGTCGTAAATCGGCTGCCGAAGTCCAATGATGTACTGATTTTGAAGAAAAAAAGGGTAATGAAAAACAAAATTATCCCAGTGATAAAATGAAAAACAAGAAATTTTTTTTACAATGTTAAACTTACAAGGAAAATCTTCACCTAAATCAGTTAATTTTGGTCGCAGCCAAAATGTTCGTAATGTTGGATATAATTCAATATTATAATGTCTACATGCATCAGCATTCACCTCATTTGCACAATCCAATACGGCAAAATCAACAACATTCGACCAACGATGTATGGTTGATTGTAAAAATTGTTTAAATAATGGTGCAAATGCTTGACAATGACCACAATATGTATTGAAAAATTGTATAAATTGAATTTTACGACCATCTTGATGTTGATTAACAATAAAATCGGTTATATTTGTTGTATATAAAATATTTACACCTGAATCAGCCGATGTATACAATGATGATGATGATGCTGGAAAACCTTGAACCAAATTGTTTGTTGTTGTTGATGATAATGATAATAATAATAGAAATAACAATGATAACAATGGTAATGATGATGATGATCGATGTGAATCGATGTTTAACGATGATGATGATGATTCCATTATTAACTACAAAAAAAACTACAAACTATGATGAATGATGAATGAATGTTTCCACCGGAAAAAAAACAAACAAACAGAAAACACAATCAATCAATATTAAATCAATCAATCAAAAAATACAAGTGATGAACAAACACAGGTACACAGAGCAGTTACACACACACAGAGAGAGAGCTTATTTCACAAAATAATCGATTGGTGAAACTGAATCAAATGAAATAAAAAACAAAATTTTTTGCTTTAAAATGCTTGTTTCTCTACATTTTTTTTTTGCTGTTGTTGATTAAATTTGATAAGATTTTTTGGGTTGATTAGAAATATACTTGAAAGCCGATGTTATCGATTTTTTTTTTAAAAAAAAACCTGGATGATAATTAACAGAGAAAAAACATTGAAAACTTTTTTTTTTTGCTGACGATGTTCATTTTTTTTGTTGCAAAGATGATTCTTCAATTTTACCAATTTCATCAATGTTGTTGTTGTTGTTGATGAACCAAACGACAGAAAAGGCACGTATTCAAATCGTCCTTTTTTCTCTGTGTTTTTTTGATATTTGATAATCAAATCAATGAAGCGAAATGGCAACAAAACCAAACAAAATCATCATCTTTATAAAAATGTTTTGTTTTTGATGATGATTCGATGATTGAGGCAATCATACATCACACATTGTTCTTTTTGGTTGATGAAAATTTAATTAACTTTTTGCTGTTGTCGTTGTCAAAAAAAAAATGGTAATTATCTTCTCTTCTTGCATATAAACAACACACGTTGAGCTTTTTTTTTTAACTGTTTGTTTAATAAGCATGCTCGTTTCGAACGTTTTTATTAACAACAACACGCACGCACACACACACACAGCACAGAAGCAAACAAAACATTCGAAAATGATCAAAGAATCATGGATTTTTGAAATTTTTTTTTAAGTTTTGTTTTTTAAAAGTTTTGTTTTGTTGTTGTTTTCAACATGTTAAATTGAATATAACACAACAAAAGATCAATTTGATGAGATTCATGATTTTTGTTCGTCGAAAAATAAAGTAAAATTTGTTTCGTTTCTCTTTGATGATGATAATGATGATAAATACGCGACAATTCGTGTCATTTATTTCTTTCGATCTCTCTCTCTCACTTTTTTATTTCTTTTCTTTGATTGACAATTATTGGTTCTGAATGTTCTGTTGTGTAAATGTATAGTTTCTTTCCTGAAATAAAAGCAGAAAGGAGAGAGAGAAAGAGAGAGAGACAAAACAACTACTGTATTATCATCATCAAATATCATTATTTTTGTAAGTATTTTTTTATTTTTTGTTGCAACTTGTTGCCACCGATCAATCGATGATGATGATGATGAAAATGATTTTGAAGAGTGACAGAAAAGCAACAAACAAAAAAGGATGGGGAAATTTTCATTGAAATAATTTCTTTTAAAACTGTGTGTTTGCACAAAAAAAAGAACGGCTTCTTTTTTAACAGGTGTTGTTCAACAAAAAGAATCATCAAATATAACAGAATCAAAATGTGATCAAGATTTCTACAAACTCTGATTTTGACATTTTAATCAACAACAACAACAAACCGAAATGAATTTACAGCAACATATCACGGATATCCATCGAAATGAAATGAAATGAAAAAACAACAATGTTTTTTTACAATGATAAAAGTGTGATTTTCTTCTTGCATCCTATTTTCACTTTTTTTTTCTCCTTAATATTTTCATCGGCTCATTAAATTCGAAATGAAATGAAATCTTTTTTTTTGTTGCCCAATTCACAATGAAAACAATGATGATGATGATGATGATGGTTCCCCTGTTCAATTCATATGAAGAAAACAGATAAAAGATTCGTGATGACCATTTTCTTTATTATTTATTATTACAATTTTGTTTTGGTAATAAACCATTCACAAATAACAACAGGTAGTATTTTCAGGTATTGATCATATATAATTTAAACATATATTTTTTTTCTACAACGGAAATAAACATTATGATTATGACCATCATTCATTCATTCATCATCACCGCCATCATCAAGCATCAAATATCTGTGAATAATGATGATGATGATAAATTTGAATTTTATATCTTGTCGGATGTCGATTTTTCAACAACAACAACAACAAAAAATCGATTCATTTCAAAACCCTTTCATTTTATAATATTTATAAACAAGCAAACATCCTACCATCATTATTGTTGTTTTGAAATTTCGATTAAATCGATGATTACCACTGTCATCATCATCCGTATTGATTTTTGTATTTTTTGATTTGATCGATTTTTGATTTGTTTGAACAACAAGGATGTTTTCGAGATGAAAAAAACGGAAATTTTTTTGTTGTTCCTAAACGAAACATTTTCAACAACAACAACAAAAAAAATTCAATTTTTTTTTCTGGATGTTTCTCTGGTTTTGAAAAAATATCCTGCATTTAAAATTGAATAATAATAAAAAAAACAATTGAAAATTCGGATCCGTTACCAATCGGTTCAAAGAAAAGATATTTTTAGCAATTTTCAATTCAATCGACAACGATATTATATCGTTTGTTGGACAAATGTTGGAAACAAAACAAAAAATCAATTGTAACAAATGAATGAAAGTGATAATAATAATAAAAAACACTTGAATGTAAAGTTTTCATTTCCGATTTTTTCGTTTGTTCGTTCGTTTGATGAATAAAAATAAATTTCATTTCGGTGAAGTTTTTGTTGAAAAAATTTCACCTTTTTTTTCGCAAGTTTCACCATTCAGGTTTCAAGATTCGAATGAAAATTCATTCGAATCAAAAAAAAAAAAAAAATTCAAACTTGGACGCCATCTGTTGTTTGTGTGGAAAAGTGTTTTTTTAATAGAATTTTGCCATGTGATTTTACCCGCGGAGGATTTTCTTCTTTTTTTGAAAATTATTTAAAAACACAAAATGACCGATTCATATTGGTCAAATTTTTCACCAATACCAAGTTCCCGATTGATTAGAATTGCTGATAATGATAATGATGATGAAATTGATAAAATTATTGATAATCATTTATATGGTCGTTCAATACAGATATTTTCAACAAATATTTTGTTTCAACAACAGGTGAAAAATTTCCTCGTTGATCATAATGAAATGGGATTTTTATTCGTAAAAAATCTACCAATTTTTCTATTGATTCAAGATGAATTTATCCAAACCTATTGGAATAATGGTAATGTTTATGGTTTGTCGGGTGAGTTTTTTTTCAAGTCAAAGTTTTGTTTTGAAAAATGTTTTGAAAATTTTCCCTTCTTTAAATAGTCGATCAAGATGTTAATACTGAAAATACAATGGCCATTATTGATCGAAAACGTATATTATTATCACTGAATTCGCAAACATATCATCGATTAGGTATTATTGGCAAGGAATCGATTATGAATCGTACAAAATGTTTAACACCAAAATATCGTATTGTAATCGATTTGGATAAACCATTTTTCAAACCATCGAAACGTCATTATAAACGTATTGATGAATGTTTACGACGTTCATGTTTAACATTTAATGTTATACTTAAATGGGAACCAAATAATAATCATGAAATGTCAAATATTTCACCAAATTCATTGGAAGAATATTTTCAATATTTAAAACAGCAAAAAAATTCGAATGATCCGATCATTTCCAAAATGACAATCGAAAAATGTATTCCAAATTATCGTTCATTTTATCAACAAGTGGATAGAATTTTCAATGTAAAAACAATAACAAATATTGAAAATGTTGATGAAAATGAATTGGCCGATTTTATTGAATGGTGTTCGGCACAAATGGCTCAAATAAAATGTCAAACAAACGATCTGGAAGTATCGACATTTCAATTGGATACATCACAATCGATTCCTGTTGCCAAACCAAACAATTTACTATATGGTGTACAAATTGATGGTTTTTTTATCAGCACAAATGTAAAGAAATTAATCCAAACTCTTAAACCTTTTATTTTCAATTTTGATCAAACGGATTCTTCTTTAATGGTGAATGCAATGATTGTACATGGATTTGAAAACAATCCACAATGTTGGTCAGGAACAAATAATGAACATTATAAACATCTTTCGGGAGAAAATCTTTATGGTTTTAGTGTTTTGAATTCAATGTTCAGATTAATTTGGTGCCAAAGTGATGATTATGATTATGGAATTGAAAAATTCTAATTAGAATTAATTCGATTGAAATTCACTATCGCGATGTATCGATTGTTTTCGATTATTTACACACACACATGTTGCATAATTTTCATATGATTTTTCTTTTTTTTTAAATTTTGTTTTTGTTGTTTTTTTGACAATTAAAAATCTTTCATTAAATCAATTTGTTGTTGTTTTTCATTAGTGAATATAATCTTTATTGTAAAATGAATCAAGATAGACGATATAGATCAAATGTAAGAGGAGGAGGCCATGGCCGTCGACAAAATATTTCATCAACAAAATCCAAATCAAATGATCCAAGTTTGAATAAAAAATGTTCATTTTTACGTGAAGAATTAACAGTTATTTTTACCGGTCTAAATAATCTATCGGTTCAAGATGCAAAAGATTCTAAACGAATCGTAGTTTTATTGGAAAGTTTACATTCATTTATGGAATCGAATAAATCCTCAATCAAACATGATGATGATAATAATATCGATGATTTTAGTCAAGAATTATCCAGATTAAATCAATTTCTATTCGATATTAAAACATTATTAAATAATGTTGATAATTATAATGAAGATTTATTTAATTTACAATATTTAATGTTAAAATCATTTTATATTCTATTAAAAGCGACAAAAATAATTAATGAATCAACATTATTTGCCGATATTCTTGAACATTTAATCGATCATTTGATTCAGATAAAAATTATGATTTGTAAATTATCATCTGGTAATAATCAACAACAGAATATTATTACATTAAATTCATCATGTTTATTACTTTTAAAATGTATTTATTTTTTTTGTTCAAAATTTACAATAATTTATGGTAATAATTTACGTAAAACAAATGTTTCGGGTAAATTAATTGGAATATTACGTTGTTTTATGTTTTATGGTCTTTCTAAATATGATCTGGAATCATTCCCGGTTAATCTTTATCCATCACCTTTAAGTCAATTTATGATTAAAGATAATAATGGTAGAAAACGACGAAATAACAATAACAACAATAAATTTGATAATGATGAAATTTTTGATGATACTCATTTACCATCAACAACAACGGCAACAATTGAATCATCAAATTTATCTACATCAGAATATTCATCATCCGAATTGGATGAATCAACAATTTCAACCATAGATACAATATTATCATTACGACGGGAATATCAGAATAGGAAAAGTTTTGTAAAAATTCGAATGTTTTCCTATGAATGTTTACGCGTATCGCTCGATATATTCGATATTCGTACAGTATTTGGTTTTTGGTCATTTTTATTTCCCGATACAAATTTATCATGGCCATTAAATGATTCAACTGAATTTAGTGTTTTGACAACCATTTCAAATGATACATCAAATAGTGTACGAATATCAGCATTAAATTTTATGTTTAATTTTTTTGATTATAGTAAACAATATGTACAGATTTTAGTACAAGATTCAACAACAACAACATCAATTGGTGGTAAATCATCATCATTTACACCGATATCAGTTTCATTGGCAACAATGATTAAAGAATTACATCGATTTTTTCATTACATACTATTGAAAGAAAATAATTGTTCAATATTAATACTTTTATATAAAATATTATCATTAATAATATCGATAACACCATATCATAAACTTTCGGATGATGAAATTCTGAATCAATTATTCAATCAAAATTGTTATATGATTGATAATAAAGTAACACAAATCAAAAATTTATCATTAGCATTATATGTAAAGATTTTTAATTTATCAACAATTCCAACCGGTTTAGAATCATGGATTTTTGAAACAGAATCCGGACGGATTACAATGAATAAAATATTTAAACATTGTTATGAATTTATTGATAATCAAGATTATATTTTATTGATTATTGAATCAATCAAATTATTTATATCCATACTACGACATTATAAATTTGCCCGAAAATTATTATCGAAAAAATGTATTGAAAAATTTAATGTAGAAATGTTTTTTATGAAAATTTCATTCAAAATTATTGAAATGGATAAAGCATATAATAATTCCGTATTGCAAACATTAATGTGTAAATTTATACATACGATTGGTTTGTTTTTCAAGGATTTATCATCCACCACTTGTGAAGATGATTATAAAATTTTTCCCGATCTCCACACACAAGAAGATTTCATTAAACAATGGTATTTGAAGATAATTTCAACGAAAATATTTCATATTGCATTGAAAGAACAAAATTCATTGATTATACAGAATTCATCACAAATAACATTAATCAACGTTATTTCGATAATACCGGAAAATATTTTTAAATTATTTAATGAAAATATTCATTTTGAAATTATATCGATATTAATTTCATTAGCAAAAATTGATAATCATCATGATTATGATGATAATGTTATTAACAACAACAAACAACAAAATATTGATAATGAAGAAACAGATCTTTGGATCTATACAAAATCAACATCAATTCGTTGTTTAAGTATCATACAATCATATAATTGTTTTTCCAATGATTTAACATTGATTTTAGATTTAATCGATATTTGTATAATGGATGTATTGAATAAATCGGATGATTATTATCAAATGATGATGGCAAGAAAAAAACAAATATTTCTATTTGAACATATACTTTGGTCATTGGCAAATATATTGGATAATGTTAAAAAAAGTGAATCATTACAATCATCGATTGAATTGAAATATTTTGTTAATATTTTAGAAATATTAGAAAAATTTCATTCAAAATTAACAAATTCAACGGATGATATGTTGATAAATTTGGTTAGAAATTCATCACTGATCATTTATTTGATATTGAGCAAACAAAATTCTTCAGATCAATCGAATGAAATTCAAATAAATCCAGATCAAATTCAAATCAAAATGATTAAATATATGAATGAAATATTGGCAGAAAAAAAATCCTATAAACTTCAATGGAATATTTGTATTGGATTTTCATATTTATTTCCAATGGAAAATTTTATCAAATTATGTGAGGTTGATGATTTGATCGACCGAATAATGAATACATTATATCAAACATTTTTAAATTCAATTAATCATAAAGTACAATCATATTCAATTTATACAATAAGTTGTATATATGATTTGAAAATATTTGAAAAATATTTACCGAAATTATGGTCATCATTAACTAAAAAATTTATTGAAAATTTATTCATTGTTCCCATACATAATCGTCATACATGGTTAGATAGATTTATATTTGTAATTGAAAAATTTTTCATTGAATTTGTTCAACCAAATGATCAAGATGATGTTCGAAAAGATTATGAAAAATTGATTGAATTTTTGGCCACAGAAATTCAAATGAAACATTCAGATTTGGATGATGAAATACAAATTAAACTTGAAAAATTATTTGATTTTTTACAAACAGAAAAAAAATTTTGAATAAAAAAAATTTTGTTTTTTCGAATTTCCTTCTTTAAAACTATTTCCATCAAAACAAGCATACGTATGTCGATTTAGCCATTGGATTTCTTTTTTCATTGGTGATCCAGAAAATCTGCATCGGCGGTAATTGTGTGTATTTTTATCGGGAAAAATTCAATTTGAATAATGGCACAAAGAAAACGTAACATTGAATTTGCTAAACCAGAAGAGCCATCATTTTTGAAAAAAATGAAAAATCAAATGGGCATCCAGAAGGATTTTGTCACCATCGATACAAAGGTTTGAAAATATGAATTTTTTTTCAAAAACCGTGATTGATTCGATTTCTCGGGAAATTACTATAGAAAGAAAAACTTGACAAAAAAGATTTAGAATATCGTGATGAAGAACCTGTTTATGTGGTGGAAGAATCATCCGGAATTACTGAAAAAGAATTGGAAAATTTCAAAGAACAAACAAAACAAGGTTTGTTTTTCATGCATACATTTTTTTTGTTTTGAAAATGATCTCATCCACAAATTCAAATTCATTTAGAAAAAGAATTCAAAAAAGATGAAGAATTACTTGAACAGCGAATAATTTTTAAAAAACCAGATAAATCAAAAATCAACGATAATGATGATCAACAACAAGGCTCAACATCAACATTTCAAACGACAAAGAAAACAATAAATTCATCATCATCATCAACGATGAATTTTCGTTCGAATTTGATGAACAAAGATAAGATTAAAAAGGTAAAAAATTCCAGTCTTTTATCATTCGATGATGATGATGATAATGATGAAGATTAAGCGATTAATTGTCAAATATTTGTCATTGTATAAACCAAACTTTTCATTTTGTTCGAAGAAAACTTTACTCGTATAAAATCATCATATCATAATACACAGTGAGTATTATTTTTTCATTTACAATTTGATTTGTACACAGCTGATGGTATTTTTTTGAATGAAAATAATTTTCATTCAACAGTTTTTATCTATTTATTCTCGATCTATATTCATCTTCTCCAGCTAAAAACCAGACTTGAAAAAATTGTGTGAATTTCAACCAAAAAATGCCCGAAGCAACAATGAATAATGATGAAATCAATTCTTTAGCTAAAAATGTAATCGAAACAGTTATATCGAATGAACCATATAAACATTCGGATGTAGCTAATTGGAATGATTCAATTTGTGAACAAATTGTTCAACGTTTAATACAATTAAATGGTAATCATTTTAAATATATTGTATCATGTTCAATTGTACAAAAAAATGGTGCCGGTATTTCAGCAACATCACGTTGTTATTGGAATCAATCAAATGATCAATATTTGAATATACGTTGGGAAAATAAACATCTTCATTGTATTGTACATCTTTTTATTGTTTCATTGTGATTATCATTTTTTTTTCTTGTTTGTTTTGTTTGCATGCACAATCATTTTCAAATTCTGGATTACTAAGAACTTCCTGTTTTTCTCTGGTCAATTAAATTTCCCAAAAAAAAAAATTCCATTTTTTGTATTTATTCATTGAAATATTGTTGCTGATTCATAAAAAATAATTTATTTAAAATAAAACAAATTTTCTTTTCCATTTCCGTTTTTTTTCATTTCAAATTTTTGATAATTTCTTTCGAATTGATCATTTTCTAAACGTAAAAAATAAACTGGGACCATGGCCAGACAGTGACATTCGATTCTATATAAACCTAATGTGTGTGTGTATGGCAATGTGGGTGTGTAAATATAGAATCGAATGTTTCGAATATGAAAAATGTCAAGTTTTTCAAAAGAAAAAAAAACGTAAAACATTTTTCATTATTGATCATCAGCTTCATTTGGATATATCCTTTATTTTAATACCGAATCTAATCGTATCGAGGCGCTTTTGTCCTTTTTCTTTTTCCCGTTTTTTTGAAAAAATAATAATTGTGTTTGAGAGTATGTGTTATATACTTGTGTGTGTATAGGGGCGTAGAGGATTTATCGATGTCGTCTTTGTCGTTGATGATGGTGGTAAAAGCAAATAAATGAATGAATGAAATAACTAGAGCGCACCGTGAAATAAAGACCGATCAACCAACCAACCGACCAAGCGACCTATCAAAATTTTTTTGTTTCTCATTTACCCAACAACACATACACATACATTACATTTTGAAGAAGATTGGTGAAAATCATCATCATCATCATCATTTCGAATGAAAAATTCGACAAATACGCCATTATCGTCAACAATTGGAACTAAAAAGGTGGTCGAAGGTGATGGTAGTGGTGGTGGTGGTTCATATTGATGCAACATTTTATAATCTCTTCTTTTTTTTTCTCCTTCTTCTTTCTTTAGCAAAATTACATACACACAACAAACATAGATACGCCAACCAACCAACCAACCAACCACCCAATACGCACTGTTAAACCCCGCCGAAAATATATTCAGATAGTGTTGTCAAATACACACTAAAAACACACTCACTCCAAAGCCAGCCACCGCCTCCGCATATAATTCATTTTTTTTTCTTCTTAATAATAATATTATTCGCGTGCTCGGACGTAAATATTTTCAATATATTGAAAACATCCATTATCGAACAAAAAGAACAAGAAGAAAATATTGATTTTTCTTAATTTGAAACAAAAAATTTCGTCAGAAAGAAATTCCGTTTATCTTCGCTCCCTGTTCATTTTATTTTTTGGAATTCAAGAATCTCATTCCCCCCGTTACAATTACGAATCAATTTTTTTTTCTAAAAATTCTCGAATTCGAATTTTTCTACGTTTTTTTTTTGTTGTGCTGCTTATAATTCATATGACACATATCACCAATCATCATTTTTTGTTAATCAAAAAAACGGGAACGTTTTTTTTTTTTTTTTTTTTTTTTTTTTTTTTTTTTTGTTTTTTCGGAATGT